GAGAGCCTCTGTAGACTCCTCATTGGTTTCTTTGCACAGAATAACAGTTCTCCACCATTCCTACTAGCATGTAGGGTATTTTGTCTGCCAGCCTGTCTTAAAGCAGTGTAATATGACATAACTGCTTGGGCTGAAGCCTCAGAGGGAGAGCTCTGAATAGATGAGAGCTTTACTCCAGAATATGCAGCTGTTCAGGTGATCCCAGGGTTCCCAGCCACACTGTGGTAAGCACATGCTGCAATCCCTTTGCTCCTAAGCAAGGTTACAAATAAAATTGTGTCTTGTGAAATCTTTGAACTCATCTCTTTGCTAAAACATGCTCCTAGTTTTGATTTTAAAGAAAGAAATGTAGGTCTCTATGTAGTCACCTGAATTTTATTGCAAAACTTCTGTTTTACTAGAATAGGTGTTCATTCTCAGATACTGCATTGCCTGTACTTGTGTAGAAGGACACAATAATTAAACTAAGGCACAGGCATCCATCCAGAGATCTGCAGTTTTCAGGTAACTGAGTGGTGGGTGGTGTCAGGTGTAAACTGCTCAGTCACCATCCCATGTGTAAAGAAAACTGCACATTTAATAGTTTCAGATATTGACGTGTGACACTTCATGGTGTTTTACTTTAAGGTCAGAAAGAGAATATTAAGAACACAAAAGTCTGTGTGTGTAAAAATACTTGAGCTAACTTTGTCTTTTTTTTTTTTTCAGTTTGCCCTGCTGGTTGGAAACCTGGCAGTGAAACAGTAAGTCACTGTTTATATTAACATGCATGTAGTACTAACAAGCACTCAGTTACCATTTCTACTAGAGCCAAATCCAAAATCTCAGCAACTTCCAGTGAGAAGGTATGAGTAATGTCACATTATTAAACTTACACCATTTGGCTTGCTATTGATTTCATTAGGGGATTGTTTCCCTCACACTAGACATCTCCCAGTTGTTTCAAACTCCTGGTGTGTGAACAAAATTCACTGGACCAGCAGTGAGTTTGGGATCAAGAACTTTTTCCTGTTAACTCCTGATGAGGGAAAGTTCAAAACTCTTGAGTTTGTTGTATCTTCTTGGTTATTTGTCCATATAAATTTTTGGTGGTTCTTATTGCACATCCTGGACACTACCTAAAAAAAGAAGTTCCCAGGCTGCTGTGGTGTGTGCCAGAGCCAGTGTCACTGTCAGCACTCCAGCAGGGAGCAGTGCTTTGCTGTGCAATTCCCCTCCCTTCTTTGCTACTCCTGGGCTCCATGGGACTGGAGGCAGAGGAGTCAGAGTTCACATAAACACTCACTGAACTTGTTTGTGTTCCCTGGCCCAGAGCAAGCCTTAGCAGAATAATGAAACTTTCATCAGAGGTCTGAGCTGCCTCACTCAGATGAGATCACTGGCACTTACTTGAGCATGTGGCTTCCTTCTGAACCATATGGTGATGACAAAGCACTGTTGTTAAAGAGCTGGCTCAACAAAAACCAGGTCCCAGCAGCCTCTAAGCAGAGTTAGTGAGCGTTGTACATGATTACTTGATGTTAAACCATGTTTGTTTGCTGGATAGGAAAGTTTCCTAGGATGACTTGAGGCTGGGAGTCAATTTTTTCAAGCTAGCAAAGGAGTATCATAATGAGGGAAGCTGGATATTTAAGACTGTAAAATGAAACAGGGTGGGCTGGCCCAACATTTGTATTTTGGCACTGAAAAGTTCTGCCCTCCATAACTAGGATCACCCACATAACATGACATGGATATATTTTCTAACAAATAGTCTGACAATGATGATGCTAACAGCTCCAACACTGCCAATTTAGTAATGTAAAGCAGTATTTAAGCATTCTCCACCTCCTCTGTGCAAAAGATGCAGACAATAGCAGAGTAGTTGAAAAAGCCTTTCTCAAAGATGTAGTCATGCCTTCTAAATGTGTTTGATTTAATTAGATCAAACCAGAGGAAGCCATGAGAGTGTGGTGGCCAAGGGAAGAACTGTAAGTAAATTCTGAGCCTCTAGATTACAGATATTAATTTACCAAAATATCTTGCTTTTGGGGCAAGCTGTCAAAATTCTTCCTTTGGTAGGCTGCACTCTCTCATGCCTCAATTGGTTGAATCTCTCTGCTAATGCTGCTAGGTACCTTTAGAGATGAATAGCAATCTAGTACCTAATCAACTGATAAATTGCTCTTCAGTGTTGCAAGTGAGTTGGCAGTAGCATCTTACTGTGAAATACTGTGCTTTTCTGGCTTTATAGTTTGCTGTGTTTTCATGGCTTTGGTTTTTGGCTAACATTTTCGTTTTCTTTCTTGCACAGATAATTCCAGATCCAGCTGGAAAACTGAAGTATTTTGATAAACTAAACTGAGGCTCGCTTCTGTTGAATTCAATAGGTCACATCCAACTTGATTTTTGCCAATAAAATTTCATTAATTTTGGTACTTTTGTGAGTTTGATTAATATGTAACAGCAGTAAAACATTAAAGGGCTCATTGTTTAAACAGAAGTCTAACCTGTGTGAAGCACAGGTACCTCATTAGTTATCTGAGAATATTCTTATGAAATACATGTGTTCTCTTTAGGTTTTATTTAAATGCTCAGTCTTGCCCAAATCCACTTAGCATCTTGGGCTTAGATTCATGACTTTTCCTATTAATGGATTATTTAATTTCTGCAAAAATCTTGTGTGTTTGGTCACATTCTAGAAACTACAGCTAGGAAAGAGCCACTTGGTTATGGTACATTTGTCTGTAGTCCAGCGACAAGCAGCTAACTTAAAAGCCAGGAATAAGTTACAGTTGCTGAATAAAATTTCCAGTCTGTGTAAAGCCTGAAAACATTTTTCAACTAGTAAGAACATACCCTACAGTATATAAATCAGTACATCTGCACTGAAAAAACCACACCTCTACCAGTTCATGTGATTCAAGGGCTGAACCAGTGTCGGATCTCAGGATCTCAGTCCTGAGGTGCTGAGCCACCGAGACCACCTTGGGGGGCTCGGGAGTCCTGGAATGTTGCCAGAAGTGTCTGGTGGCTGGACTTTGGTCCTACACAGGAGACGACAAGGATGAGGGCTTCACCGGGGTGAATGGTGAAGGGATTAGTTAATTAGAGGGTGAGACACAGGGTTTAGGATTTATGTACAGGGGGGTTTAGAGGAGTAAGATGGAGGAATTGGGGTGTGTCCTGTCCTTCTTCTTCTTCTTCTCCTCCATCTTCTTTGGTGATGGTGGCACCTTTGGATTGGTTATTACTGAGAGTGCACCGAGTAATAAGAATAAATGGTATTGGGGAAAAATGATAAATATTGTACACGTAACAATGGGTATAAAGATAGGTGGCTGCCCCGGAGGGCAGACAGTGTGCTCATGGCTGACTGCTGAGCAGATCTCTGTTCGGCTGAAAGAACATCTTTTAGATAAACAATTAATAAACATAAAAACCGAAAGAAGAACTGAAGCCTCTTCTCGTCCTTCGATACGCGGGCTGCCCCAAGGCCACCTCGGGCCTTTCCAGGCCCCTCAAACAGCCGAGATAACCCGACAAACCAGTAAATTTTTCTATGCTTAAATTTTGTAGTGTATTTGCTGATAAGATTGATTCTGTTTCACATTTCCTGAGTTTTGGCCCTGTCCCTTTACTGTTAACAGATGGATGTGGGGGATAGTGTCCTGTCCCAATCCACTCCCTAACTGTGGCTCCTAGTTTTAAGGACACAGTTGTAGTCTTTCCTGAGATAAGTACTGACGTGTGATCATCAGAAACTCTTGTGGCTGATGGACAAGAATTTCTTCTTTCAAGTGAAAATAACATCTCCATGTAAGACATACTTGTGTGCACTGGAGAACCCTTTCCTGAGGATGTCATCTTGCTTCTTCCCACTTCTTCCTGTTTTTGACACAGTATTCTAAATTCTGTGCAACTGGAAAAACAGCAACAGAAATGTGTGACCTTTTGCACCAGGGTCATCCTTGAAAAGTCACAGGCACCTTCAGTCTCCAATCTGCACCACGACTTTATTACTCTTGGTTGGATCACACCTGCCTGAGAACTCACTTCCCTTCCCTCCCCTCACCAGACCATACAATTCCCTGCCCTATACACAGACTCTTCACTGCAGTTCTGCAGAACCAGGCCAGGTGTGCATTTGCCCTGTGAAGTTACGTGATTTTGTGGACTTGGGTGAGTACTGAGCAGCTCTCCCTGTTGGTCGCTGCAGACACAGAGCAGGAGCAGCTGCTTCCATCACTTCAGCTCTGATGCAAATAACACCATGCAATGCCATGGGTAGAGGGAACCACAGCCAGGGCAAGCAGAGCTTCCCTGACCCTCAGCCTCCCTGTTCCTGTGAGGTCTGGGGAAGGAAGTGCCTCATCCCATCCAGAGGGTAACAGGCAGAATGGGATCAATGCCAAACCCCAAAGGCTCCTGCTGAGGGGTTCATCCTGTGATAGCAAATGCCAGAGGGCAGCATGTAGAGAGAGGTGCTTTCTCACATGACTAGGATGTAAATCACCTTGAATTTTACTCTGGATTCTGTTTACATCAACCCTGAAGCACCAAGAACATCACACAGAATGTTCAAATGACCCCAAGCCACTGCAGCATAAGAAATGTGGGCCTAGCTATCACATGGACATTCAGCAGCAGCCCAAGGCACAAAATGAACACAGTGCTTGTGCCCCCTTTAGAGCTGGTGCCCTGGTGCTCAGAGTCCTTGCCCCTCTCCAGCTGGCTCAGTCACACCTAATGCTGTCCCAGCTGCAGGAACCTCTGACACTGAGCCAGCCAGTGACACTGAGAAAGACAGAGATGAGTTATCAGCCACGTGTTGAACATGCTCCACCCAGCTCATGGCTCCTTGCAGAGCCCAGAGAGCAGAGTTACAGCAACACAGCCACAGGGTGTATCTCTGTAGCAGTCAGCACCAGCACATGTCAAAAGCTGTACACAGCCTGAGTCAAGAACAGAAAATTGTGCTGAGAACACTTAGTGACTGAAGAAAACTGGGGCCATCTGCATGCTTTGACCATTGCAAGTTTAATTGAAGTCACAGCAGCGTAGCTGAGTAAACTTTCAAGGTTTTTATAAATGCACATTTACAGTTTAAACATGTGGTAAGGGATGGCATAGGGTTGTTTTTTGGGTTTTTTTAATGCAGTTCAATGGGGATGAAAAGTATTAGGGAAATAGGGAAGTAGTCCTTAAGCAAAGATTTGAGTTGCCATGTGATTGTACATATTTGAAATTAACAAATGACAGAGCACTCTGTTCTTCCAGTACTCAAAGTGATGTTTCAAATAGTGCAAAACTTAATTGTCATACATCTCTGCTTTCCCAAACCCCAGGATATATTCAGGGACCTCTCTTGGAAGTACATAAAATGCAGATGCCATTGTGAGCTTGTCTTCTACAGAAAAAGCAAAAAATGCTCCTGCAAGGCAAGTAATGACTAATAATGAGACATAGTCTTCAACTTCCTCTGCTATTTTGGGCAAACATCCCACACCCTTCTACTGCCCCCTCAGCTGTTAAGCTATGTATGGTGGTGAGGTCTGCAGATGAAAGCCACCTCTCCAAGCAGGGTGGATCTAGCTGAGACCTGGATATCACTTCCAGAAGTATTGAAGAAGCATCAATTCAGATAATAATAATGGTACAGATTTTTGATGTTATTTGCTGATGTAGCCCTCTGCAACTGTCCTAGGTTATGCCCATCCCTTGCCCACAGAAACCTCTCCCTCTGCAAACTCAAGTATATCCAAAAAATAACCACCACATTGCTGGGAGCCTGTACTGGTATTAGGTTTACAGTGGGACTCAATGTTTATCTTACAGGTATTTTCCAACCTGCCAATGCCCAGCAGTGCCTCCAGCCTCATGGACAGGAGCCCTGCAGGGCTGAGGATCTCTGCTGGCAGAGAAGTGCTCCAGTGTATTTTCTGTGCAGCTCTGGTCATCCAACTACATCCTCCACAAAAGGAGTCCCCAATTTCTCTTTCATGAAAGCTGAGTATTTACCCTTTTATTTTCCTGTTGGCTTGTGCCTAGCCCATGCAGAAATGATCTCTCCCGTGCCTAGTTAGGAATGCATTCAGAGCAGGATCAGCAATCAAACCAGTGTCACCAAAGGCTGGACTGAATGTGCAGTAAAACCAATTGAGCATGCAGAGTTTAGAGCAGGTTTCTGAACTAAAACTGTTGCTCTGTGGCCCACATTGCACCAGTTCCTGCAAACTTCTTTCCAGAGTGCTGTACAATGTGACATGGCTGCAAAATCTGATGGGAATGGTCCCTATTTGAAAAAGGGCTACCAGATGCTGTTACATGAAGTTTGAATGATTTTAGTACTTTTTTAACCACAGAAAAATAAAAACATTTGAAACAAGGCACTCCTTTGGGCACTGAGTTCAGCCAGTCCCACAGAAATCTCCTTTTATATCACTATTAAGTGAAAGGGTAAGGGGAGGCAATCCTGCTCCTCCTCACTGTATTCCGAGAAACAATGGGCACAGACATTTGCTTCCTGCTACTGAGCCATAGTCAATTAATTATATAGTTAAGCTTACTATAAATAAAAATATTTTCTAGCAATTTCTTTAGGCTTCTGTGGTAATGGTTAGTCACCTACAGGCTGGATAAAAGTTGCAACATAAACCCAACATGAATTACTATGTTGAAATATTTTAATTCTAAATGTGCGATCAGAGAACATTTTTCTCCCATACACACAAAGGCACAAAGCAGCATGCATACCTTTGAACAAAGATACCAGAGAGGGTGACAGCTTGGAGTCACCATCTCGAGGTAAAAAATACATGAGTACATATATATAGCAATAAACACAAAGCATTTATCTTTTACATATGTGCATATGCACACATACACACATTTTCTGTATGGCTTCATATACATTCTGAAACTACTGTCACTGTGGTATGTGATTAAGTTATCATGAATTTTGAGAACGTATAAATTCTTCTACACATCTTCATTTGTGGCATTCATTTTCTTCACTGCATCCAGAGGTTCTGATGTCACACCTTCCTCCATACTCTATTACCTCTCCTTCTCTCCAACCCCTTCCCAAAGGCTGAATTTAGAAATTATGATAAATTTATCTTTAAATGCAGCTGAAAAGTCAGTGGAGGATGAATTTGTATCCCCTTAACTTATGTGTGTTATAAAAAAGTGATCCAGGTAGGATCACTGGGTCAGTGATAAAAACCTGCAGGTACTCAGGAGTAGAACATAGTTCTGAAATAAATAGGAAGGCAGGAAATGGAAGGATCTATTTTTTAACAGTTAACATTGATCCCTGCAACAAGGGGGAAGAAGATGAAATACTATTTCAGTTCTTTATTCATGTGGTCAGTCTAATAGAGTCAGTTTGAAAAAGGTAAAACCCAGCAAATACAATTTATCTGACAGCATCATAACCATTAAAGATTTTAATGTCATAGAGCTGGGTCAGCACTGGAGTGTGGCTAAAGAGAGAAACTCTATGGAAAGAACCAAGAGTTTACCATCAGAACAATGCAAGAATCTGTTTTGGATCAGGCCACACCCCTGTACCTACTCTGGAAAGCAATCTAACTTACTCAATGCAGCAACTGAATCTCAAAAAGGAAAGGCTGATGTGTAACAAGCTGATTATTACAATGCTCAATTAACAATTCCTCACAGGAATAGCAAAGAGCTGCTAGAGCTCATGAACTTCATGCCATCCTAGCACCAAAGGAAATGCTCCTAATTGTGACTGTGTCAGGCTTTCTTACTCAGACAGAAAAGCTCAACGTGCTACTTAATTTTATCAATGTGGTTCATGCATCTGTGCTGATTGACATAATCACTACTTGCTGCATCCTCTTTTCAAAACATTTTAAACCTCACAGGGAAGCCAGAATCCATTCTCGTGTATTTTAAGACATGACATTTCTGTTTAACCCCTGAGCACAACTCCTCTTTGGGTGTTCTGATCAGTCTTGATGAGAAGGTACTGAAAACCAGTTTCATGCTTGTGACATACTGCTAAAAGTCGACACCTCCCATCCACTCAGTCTCCTGATTTCAAGAAATTGGGCTTTAAGTGCCAGAAATTGGATATTATTAAAACTTTCTCCATTACACCACAAACACTTCAGTACCAAGTACTCTGTTCCTGTTATGTATTTGCCATAGATATGACCACCATGGTGTCCCCTCTGTATTGGGGAAGTTCTCTGTCCTTCACAGGTAAACTGGACAACATTTAGAGCTGTGCAATATTCATACTGCACTTCAGTCCAAGGGAACAGATAAATAATCCAGCTAAGGAGGAGACTGTCCTCTAGCTGTACCACTCTTCAGTGGGATAAAGATCTCATCATTCAGCAGCTGACCTGGGAGCTGCTCAACACAGATTCTCAGGAGCCCTAACTGCAGCACCAAACATCACCATTACCATTCGGGCAGCATTTTATCTTTTTTGTTCCCAGTCCTTAACAAACAAAAATGTTCTGTTCTACAAGGCCATTTCCCAGTCCCACCAGTCAGACCTCTAGTCTCCAAGCCGTGAGAAATAATTCACTAAGGAACTCACAGTTATATATTAAAACAAACAAACAAAAAAATTAGAAGAGGTTGGCAAGGACACAAACAGAGTGCCAGAAAATACCATCTAGCCACTTCATTTCATTGCAAAAATCAGTTTCCTCCCAAGGGAACATGAAAACCATCCAAACAGAAGCTGCAATAACTTGTAAAATCCCCAGTGATGGGAAACACCTGTTTTCCATTGTGCACACACTACTGACTTCTGCCCCTCTGCTGCTGCTTAGATGTGTCCTTGACCAAAAAAGAATTATGATCCTTAACCTAATTTACACAAGAATGGAGGTCAAATTGCTTCACCTGTGTGTATCTACTTATTGCACACCTTTTTCTGACAGAACTTCCCTCCCTTATCAGGGAAACACAAAGGAGAGCTACTAAGGGAAAGGCAGCAGATGGTGACAAGACAGCCAAGACTGCAATGAGATTTCTCAAAGCAGACAAAGAGAGTCTATCCAAAGCCTAAGACTGCATCTTTTCAGCCTCTTTTCCTATCATTTGCATGTAAAATATTTCAGCAAATTCTAGTGGTAAAGAATAAAAAATCCAGATATATGCAAATACATGAAGAGTACTGAAAAGGCAGGTTTTGGTGTGGAGTTTGGGTTTGGTTGGTTTGGTTTTGAGGGGTTGTTGGGTTTTTTTTGAGTATTACAAGCACCTGTCCATTAGCCACCTCTAGTGACAGCTCTTGCCAAGGCAGCATGCTGCTGCCCTGCTGCTGCAGCACCCAGTGCCTGTCAGATTTCTTTCATGACTGCAGTAAAGTGGCGCTTCCCATCTAAATACAACATGGACTCTGAAATAAAGGGGAGAACAGAGAGAACAACATTAGTACCTTAGTATCAATACTGGGCAACTATAACTAAACAGGATTTCCTGGCAAAAGGAAGAAGTAATCCACACTGTCATCAAAGCATAAAATCTATGTGGTTTGCCATAAAATCCTGTTGAATTATTTAAATGCCACTAGTACATCTATTAAAATAACCAGTGTTCCAAGAGAAACAAAGTCATCTTTTCTACAGAATTATGATGACAACATATCAATGGCATACTTGCCTCCATATGTCTTAGGTACAACTTGTGGGACCTCATTTTCTGATATAAACGTAAAGTGGAAAATATTGGTAGTATGGTGCTCCTTGGTATTTGCATTGTAAACTTCACTGTGTACTCGAATTTGGATGTAGTTTTTTTCTGTGTAACAGACCTACACAGTTAAAACAAGAGTTAGAGATTGTAATTTATCACCAGGGCTGAAAACTGTAACAGATTTCATTACATCATTTAACAAGAAAAGTCACACACTCTCATAATAAATTGTGTATTATCAGTGAGTAACACTGGTGACAGCAAAGACAAGGTCTACTCCTTTTCAAAAGGAAATAAACTCCTACCTGTCCAGAAAGCAGTAATAAGGATCCAACTTCTACTGGCTTCTGAAACATGATATCATCAACAGATACAATAAAGGGTCTGGAACCCCTGAGGAAAAAAAAGAGAAATTTCTTCTCAAGAATAAAAGGGATGTTTGCAAAAATTTAAAGTATCTACTTGTCAGCATTTTAATGAAGGTTACTAGAGAATAAATCTCTTCTTAAGAGAGGTTACAGGAAGTGTAAGGAGTTATGTCATCACTGGAGGAAATCTCTCACAGCAATGAAGTCCACACTTTCTAAGGATACATTACTGCACCATTAGTGTATCTTATGACTTATACTTGCTGGACAATCTTCAAGCCATCATTGCTCAGGCATAAGTTTTTCAAGCACTGACACAAACCACTTAACTTGATATCAGGCTTTGCATACCCCATTAAACTTATATAGACCTTTGCTGGGTGATGACTTCAGTCACACTTCCTAAGCTCAAGCAGTTAACAGAAGAAGTTTAGAACCCACTCCTCTTGTCTACTGAATACAAAGATGTAATATTTATTTAATAGAATAAATATGTTATATGGTTATAAAGTCTTTCTCAATAGCTTGGCAAGATAAAAGAAAACAGAAAATTGATGTATTTTTTATCTTGATAAGTAATGCTTAAAACCCAAGCTCCAAGAAGAAAGATGCCAATCTCTTTGTAGATATGACAGATGCTCCAAGTAAAGCAGCAGTGCACACTAATAGTACACAATTCCACCAGACACCTAAGTTTTTTCAGTTCAGATTGTCATTAGGTTGGTTAGCTTGGGTTCCCAACATCTGTGTATGAGCAAAATGCTCTGGATTATATAAATATTGCAGGTCCACAACTCACCCATAGCTGCAAGCAGTTGCCCATCCCAGTTCAAATGCCTTTCTCATGAGAAAACCCCCAAAGATCCTATTGAAGATGTTCCGTTCCTGCACAAAGAAACAAATACCAAATGCTTTTCAAAGCCTTGTGTTGAAGTCTGCACTTCAGTTCACAGTATTTAACAGAACTCCCAACACCTGAATATATAAAAAGCACTACTGAAATATGTATGCAAAATTCAAAATGCCCAAGGCAACTTTACTTAATAGGAGCTCATCTGACTAATTTGACAGCATAAGATAACAATTCAAAATTGTATCAGCAACCAAAGACCAAAGTTCTTGCAAACACTTTGCAAAGGAATTTCTGTACACAGAATGAACAGTCTGGTAAGAAAACAAGGTCATTAAAAAATCATCCATTTTGCAGTGGTAATCCAAACAAACAACAAAAAACTGGCAAAAGAAACTAGGCTCTAAATTTCAAAGACTGCAGAAGCCAAATAAAATAATGGTTTGATTAATTTTAGGCAAAAATTCATAGTCATAGAATGGTGTGGGTTGGAAGGGACCTTAAAGACATCTAGTTCCAACCTCCTTGCCATAAGCAGGGACACCTTGCACTAGACCAGGTTGCTCAGAGCCCCACCCAGTCTGGCTCTGAACATTTCCAGAGATGGGGCATCCACAAATTCTCTGGGCAACCTGTTCCAGAGCCTTACCACAATTACAGTAAAAATTTCTTCCTGATACCTATTCTGAACCTCTCCTCTTTCAGTTTAAAGCCATTACTCCTTGTTCTTTCACTGTGTCCCTGTAAAAATTCTCTCCCAAAGTTACTTCATAAGTAACTTTCTGTAATGCATTAATACTTTTCAAAATACCTCAGGATGGCAAATCTGCAGGCCTTTTAGTTTGGCATCTTCCATCCACACTGAATTGGGTGGTAATTTACGACTCCGGAAACTCACTGTCCTTTGGAAGAGACAATAAACTTTACAGTCCACAGAATTAGCAGAATTCAGCATGCCAAAAAAGCAGAAATAGCAAATGCAGACACATACTAAAAAAAGCCACAAAAATATAGAACACCTAAATAAACCCAAAACAGGAATGGTATCACTAAACACTGTTCCAGCTGACCTCAAAGCCTTATCTAAAGCTGTCCTTTGGTTTGTTACTGCAATAAACTTATGCTCCTGATCTTTCAAAAACTTCTGCTAATGTGCAAGTTTATGTGAATGAAGAGGCTTGAGAAAGGTACATGAAAGAAAAGATGAATCACAACCACAAAGTGCACTCTTTGTCAGAAAAGCCTTGCTCTGTTTTTTAAGTCATAATAGGAAATAAAAGCACACAGTGAGTTAATGGAATAATTCAACATCAAACACACAGATAGTTTTTGAAGTTTTCAAACCCAGACAGAAGTACAACCACTAATTTTAAGAGAAAGCAGGTCTGACTTTGGTAAACAGCTCTAAAATAACAATTGTATAGGCTAATAAGTTAAAGAAATGATAAATTATTGTAAATACAACACTGCACTAATGTAACTAAACATTGTTCTATCACTGTTGGCATCAGATTACTTCACACCAATCTCAAGTATAAGAAAAGCATGCTAGCAACTCCCTCAAATAATGTTGTCAGGCACTGTATTTAAAACACATTGCAAGGTTATTTGGTTAAAAGGTGACCAGTTCCTGCCCTCACAGTTTTTTTTAATTAGATATCAGAAAACTGATTGTGCAAGTCATGAGTGCAAAACCATTCAATTCTCTTATCTGCCTAAACATTATTAACATTTTTCCTCAAAATTATTCCTAACAGCTTGTTTAGAACAACAGAAGACTGCTCTAAGAGCTGCAGATGTCATATTAAAGTCTGTACCTGCATTTCAAATAAACTGCCACAAAATTTAAATGTGCATTTAATCCAGACTACTCTGTTATGAATGCCCACTCAAAAGGCAATTTTGTCTTTCACAAGATGTCAGGTCTCCTTCACCCCTCCCTTTCTTGCCTTGTGTCCAGTGTGTTAAGGAATATGTCATGCACAATGTTTCTTTCTTCTGCAGTGGGAGCCATTTTCAGCAAGGAAGCAGTGCTGAATTCAATCCTCTTCAACTTGTTCACTGAATATTTAAAAAAAACCAAAAACCATAGAATTAAAGGTCAAAGAGAAAAACAAATAATGGCTCTGAAGATTTTAACCTGAAATCAACCATCTTTCCATTTATTTTTCCTTTTCCCCTTAAAAGCTGTAACTTCATGGTCCTATAGATCCAAAAAGAAATTTGGCTCCAAAGAGAATTTTGACTGCAGTGAAATAAAAATAAAGCAGAAGTTCACTAGCACCTCAGCAATGTGATGAAGAACTTCTACACATATTTTATGACACCCACACTCTGTTCCTACAGAAAACTTGAGTATTGCCCTCAAAGTACAGAACATATTTAACAAGAAACCCTACAGAACAATCAGCTTCAGGTTTTGCCAATGGTACAAAATGAAAATTTATGACAGAACTCATTACCATAGGCTGCAGTGATTGAAATTTTAGCTTATAAGATTTTCTGTCCAGTTTATTCAGTCTTCAGTGTTTTTCTAATTCTCCACTTAAAACCCCAGCTTGAAAGAAATGAGGATGGAGCTACATACTCCTTCCCCTGCTCTCCCTTTTTTTTTCCTGAGTTTCTTTCCAAAAGGAACATGGGGGCCCAGACAGGTGAGGAGCTGTGATGTCCTGCAGGCCCACCATGGGGGAATCAGCTGGCCAGAGTATTAGGAGCCCCTGGGCTCAGATCCAAAGCAGGGGGAGCATCTTGCCAAGGGAGAAGTCCAGAGGGTGTGCAGAGCACATCAGGAATGTCTGTCAGTTTAGCCAAAGAGTTTCCAAGCATGTGGTAGCAGGCTTTTCAACTTTCTTACTCTACTGACACAAATGAGACAGAACAAAAATCTGATTTTAAACAAATTTGGAACATTTCTAAGTAGCAGAACTCCTGAACTTTGCTTCCTCCTAGCTATTAAGTTGAAACTGAGGCAGATGTGCATACTACCAGGAAATATGACATACATTCCCCTTGCTTGAAGATTTCTTCCTCCTCAGGACTCTCAGGAATGAGTGGATTAACAAATGCTGGCCTATGGACAGGAAGGTCTTTTTAAGTTACAAATTTTACAAGAATTTGTCCCATAAATACATTGTAACAGTCTTCCATTTCTGCTTACATACACAGTACAAGATGTAATTACATACTTCAGGTTATATGATAAAAATAAATATGGCTGCCAACACAATATGCCATTAGCTTTAACTCTGAAGAGGCAGTTAAATGATCCAACCACTACCTAGTGCAATCAGGAAAGACAAAGTGACACATCTATGCTTCTTAAGAAGCTAAAATTGTACTCATAAATTATAATGAAAATTGTTTAAGAATAAAGCTGTTCAGAAACTCAGCAAATTAAACATGATCTAGGATAATCTAAACCAAAAGTAGACTGGTACATTCCTCCTGGAATAGAAGAAGCACAGTGCTGTAGCCAGCAAGTGTTTTTATAATCTAAATGCTCCCCTGACAGCCTTATCAACAGCCAAAAGCTGTTTACCACGTGTACCCCTTATCAAAGATATGACATGCCTTGAGCACAACATTTCTATGTTTATTCTACTGCAAAAATAAGTTTACTTTAACCCAATTATATAACATTTAATTATTTGCACAAGTAAAGACAAACACTTATTTTCAAGAACTGTTCTTCCCCATAGTTTCTAATTATGATATTTTAACTTTCAACATTTATATAAATGACTTTCAACATTTATACCTACATTCACACACACACACAGACACCTGCTGAATAATTCACCTCTACCCCCAGCCTTTACTTGGGTTGGCAACAAGAGGCAGAGAGGTGCTTTTTTCTTACAACAAACTGATCTTTCCTGGTTTGCTAAACCTCTGGATTTTGGACATCCACCAGCTCCTTCTCCATCACAAAGCTCATTTGCCCTCAGCTCAGCACACATCAGCTCTCCTGGCCATGCCCCAAGCCTCCGAGATGAAGATTCCCAAAGCCACACAACACTGTTTCTGTGGGGCTACAGCCAAAGTGACATATCCTGTACCTCTCTGAAGGGTTTTGATCTCACATAAACACCCTCCTTATATGGACAGAATGCTTCCACAACACAGCTGGCTTGTGGCTTAGCTGTACAACAGCCAAGGAGCTTTGCATCTATCTGCACAAGTCCATGTAGGCTTGTCCTCAGTCAATCTGCTACTGTGTAATTACATCAGGTTTGATGTCATTATTTTGAAATGTTAGTCATTAAAATAGGAACCATAACATAATTTGTTTTCTTAATGTATAGCATATTCACTGTTTCTAGATTTTTTCCTTCAAATCTGAAGAAAAAAACCTAGAAACTACTTCTAATGTTATCAGGATCACATAATTATATCAAGTAAAACCCCTCCATTAAACACATCTTTGTCAAATACAAGCAATTATTTAAGCTAATTAGAAACAGAGAAATGCTTATTACTTGGGCAGGCTATATAGGATAGAGGTAAGAATTACAGCCAATTTTTCTCATGCTGGAGTCATAAACCTAAAGGGCAACTGAGAAGCCTTTTAATCTAATAGCTAAGGAATTATAGGGAAAGTAAAACCAGAAAAACAACAAAATAAATGTCTGGGGTTTTTTATGTTCTGTGGGGATACTTAACAGTTTCATTTTAGTTACACAGGCAAGTTTTAAACTGAATTATTCTGATGACACCTATTAAGTGTCTATTGGGGAATTAATGGTATTAATCACTCAAAGACTATTTAACCACTGAAACTCAATCATTAATTCAAACAACTACTAGAATGCAGGTGGTTTTCTAGCATTCACTTCTGTGCTCATTCAGACCAGTCACTCAAACACACAGAAAAATCTGGTTTAAAAAAAAGGGTCAAATCCCAAGACTACCAGCAATTCCTGGTATCACGACTGCTAAAGTCTGAAGTTTGTCACAGGAAAGTTAACACTTACCAGCAGAAAGCATCAGCTATGTGGTTTATTTACCACCTACATTACAAGGCTTCTACACATACAGAGCAAGCAGCCATGTTTGCCATTTTCAGCACAAGTCAGGAAACTTTTCCCATCCTACAAGTTACCGTTTGTTCTCTGGGTCGCGGGCCACCATGACAAAGGTTGCATCTAACACAGGGCTGTAATCCCCATCATGTTGCTAAAAGAGACAGGGAAAATACATTACTGAACTCTACAATTGGAAATGTGCTTAGCAAGCTATTTAGTTGACATAAACTATTCAATCATACTGTTAATTCTGCTTGCTTTCACATTCTGTCATTCCTTCCAACACCTCTCACAATCAGACAAAGATAAGAAAACAATTAAAACTTTAATTTCGGGAATTCTGCAATGTAAATATTTACCAGAGAATGCTTCTTAAAAACTTTGAGCAGGGAGGAGAGGAAATCAACATAGTCATTGTAAAAGGACCCACTTAACCTTTACTCTGAGAAATGCCATAGCTTTTTTTTAATATATACCACTAATTGCCACTAATTCCAGCACTGTAAGCAGTTCAGAACAAAAAGGTGTAACATTAGCTTCTACATCAGAGACTACTTAAGGAGAACAATTGAATTTTTAAAATGTACCTGTTTACCTGAATTATCATAGAATCACAGAATGATTTGAGTTTGAAGGAACCCTAAAGACATCCTGTTCCAGTCCCCCTGGGCAGAGGCACCTTCCGAGATCAGGTGGCTCAAAGCCCCATGCAACCCAGCCTTGAACACTTCCAGTGTGGGGCATCTCTACTTCTCTGCGCAACCTGTTCCAGTACCTCACTGTCCTCACAGTAAATAATTTCTTCCCACTATCTCATCTAAGCCCATTTTCTCAGTCTGAAGCCATCCCCCCTTGTCCTGTCACTTTATGCTCCTGTAAATTCCCCCTGAGGCACCTCATGCTTGTTGTAAGATGGAGAGAAGTGACAGGAACCAACCTGCAGCATGTGCATCCTCACTTCCATGGAGGTCTTCCCAACCCAAGAAACATTGCCTGTGAATTTGATGTCACAGTCTGGACGTATAATCTTCTGGCACAAATCTACAAGACAAACATTAGGGGTTACTGGAGACAGATCACTCACAATTAATACCAGACAGGCCAGATTTCCTAGGACCTTTATATGACCTGAAAGTGGCAACAAACACAAATACAGCCCAGAAAAGACAGAAAAGTTGTTGCAAGGGTCCACACTGCTTGTCTGCAGTTTCTGCCTCTGCTGACTTTAGAAGCCAGAACAGGAGTAGGCAGAGGTGGACAGCAGACCCAAGGGAGTGTTCAGCAGAACAGGCAACACAAGCAAGGTCCAGCTCACCAGAACAAACACTGTTCAATAATGAAGCTAAGAATCTGCACACCAAAATAAAACTAAAGAAAAAACCTCAGGAACCATTTAAGTTGCATTTTGAAGGGAAATGACATGAAATGCTGAAAAGCATCTACAGAAGCCTCTTCCCACCTCTTGTCAACAAAAGCCAGAAAACTTCAAAGCTAAAACAAGATGAAGCAAACTAAACAGGAGTGAAAAAGGTATCCTCAATAACAACCATGGGAAGGCAGTAGCTGATGAAAGAGTAAGACAAGCAGATGAAACTATTGTATTTACTAAATTGCCACTTACTGATTTTATCCACCAGAGCTGTAACTATGGACAAAGGAGACCTTTGCTGCCTTTCCTGCTTGGTGTGAGTGTAGCAGATAAGAACTGTGAAGAGATCAAAAATGGAGCCAGCTCTTTAGCAAAAACTTAAGTGGAGCAGATCAAAGTCATCTTTGTAAAGCATTAGAAAACATAAACTAAAGTATCCTACTATAGGAGAGCAGAGCTTCCACATCTTCATGTATGTAACACATGGGATTGCTATAAAGAAAACAGCAGCAGCTATCTCAGTTTTATGCATATTTACTTACTACAAAGATAAATTTAACTAAGCATTTTAAACCAGCTCATCACTTCACTTCCAATCCCACACAATCTCTTTGCTCTACCTCTGCAGCTCCCTGTCTCAGACTCTCCTAGCTTCTATTTTGATTTCATGAAGGCTGTCCAAGGATACATGCTATCTGAGGACTTCTTAAATACTGATTCTTTTAAAGAGGTGGAGATTAAATAAACTGTGCCTTACAGGCACAAAACCATAGTCAGAGGTATTTATCACACGGCAATTACTACTAGCCAAACCACTATTTAAACTAATTAGCTTTGCTCATAAGAGCACATCCAAGTAAACAGACTCCTTGGAGTAATTCAAGGCTGCAGATATGGTTTTTTCCTAGTGTTCATGTAATTTTCACTCAATACAGATCTTCATTATCAAAAGTATCTGTTGTGTATTTAGTGAGATAAGAGAGAAGGAATCCCCATATGGACCATACACTTCAGAGTTGGACTTAATGATCCCTGTGGGGCCCTTCCAACCAGAATATTCTGTGATCTGTGATCTGGAAGATCTCCATCCTTCCCAGTAATTTAAGATTTTTTTTCCCTATGCTTACTGAAGTCACAATTCTAAAACCTGTTAAGCCTAACAACTTATTGTATCAATATGACCACCCTGAATATTGTTTAACTGGGACAGAATCTTGATGGACCCAAAACAATACATCCCCAGTGGAACTGACTGACTGAAGCCCAGTATGACTGTAAACAAAGTAAAGACATTCTGTGCTGTCACAGGAAAAAAATTAGATCTTCACAGAATTCTGGGGAAATTAAACAAGGCACAGAATGAAAAACAGGCTCATCTTATCTAACAATGTACATGCATTTATTCATTCATTCATTTCTTTCTCTGCCTTCCTCAATTTTGTCCATTTGGACTCTCAGAAGGAACAGAAAAAAAGATGTTCTATTTAAAACTTCTCCTTAATAAGTACTTCATTCTTTGTCAAAAACCTCCATCAAAAAGTTCCCAATCAGCTATGGAAGTAGGATGAAGGAGGAAGTCACCAGGTGATGTTTTAAGAAAAAGTATCTCCCAGTTCTATTAACAACCTCACACTTATTACACAAAAGAAAAAGATGGTGAACTTTTCAAGACCACAAATAAATAAAAAGGAGGGGGAAAAAAAAAGAATGCTAACTCATTAAATAACTGAGTTGGTTTTACCCTTAACAACAATTTGCACAACCCCAGAACATACACCAATTGTTTTTCATTTGTTCTCAATGGATACATTACATGCTTTCCAGATTATACTCTCTTCTCCTAAAGAGGAATATAAAGATATTTGCATCTCATTAATTGTTGGTGTTTGTGGCAATTTTGGTTGAGATTTTTTTTTACAATTAAAAAAAAAAAATCACAAGTTTTCATTTTCAAAATGCACTCTGCAAATTTTCTCTGAGTTCACACTGAAAATGCAAATTCATCATTTAGGACCACTTTTCAGTAAATTATTTTTGTAGCTGGTCCTTTAAAAATCTGACAGAGGCAGGAAGTCAAACAATTTTGTATCCATCTATTTTTTATCATCCTTCCTTCTCTTTCAGTACCAGTGTCTTCTTTTTTTCCTTCCTTCTGAGATGGCAGAATTATGGATTTCCTTCCAAGGCCCTACTGTGTCACACAAACATGTTCAGCAGTAACCAAACTCACTTTGTGCAGTCTTTACAAGGGCATAGGTACATACCTCCTAAACTGTCAAGATCTTCAAGTATCCTTCCAAACCTGCAATATAGGAGGTTGACAATTAAATAATTACACACATGGCAAACAGAAGTTAACAGGTTCCTGTAGGTGTGACATGGTTGCTTTGTTACCTTACACTGTTGTATACATTCAGGTATTTTTCTCTTATTTCAGGCTGACTTCCTAGAGGCAGAATAACTTCCAAGTAGCTATCCTTCATTCTCCTAGGAGGGAGATCTTCCTGCCTTTTTGCCAGTAAAGTATGGAGAGCTTTTCTTTCTTGCATGGCTTGCACATGATCCCTGGTAAGAAAAAAACCTTTATTCTGAAGTACAACAAGAGAACTGAAACCCTAACTAAAAGATGTCACATCAATGATGATCAAAGTTAAAACCAAATAGTAGATATAGCAAGACACAGTGAGCGTGCCTTGAAAAGAAAGTGAAATGCACAAAATGAGAGATGTTAAGCAAGACTACTACAGATATCTTTTAAATAGTTTGTGTACAAGTGGCAAGTGCACACTTCACACTAATGAGATGAACAAAATGCATCTAATTCTGAATGCTACCAAAATCATTCCCCTTGAAAAGAACAGATCACACATTATTTAAACTATGAGGTTTTGTGAATATTTTTGTCTTTCAGAGCTACAGTACCACACATCTTCCACATTGCCAATTTTAAAGGACTGACCATCAATTTACAATCTCTCTCAAGAAGTAAAGTAGATGCACAGTGTTGGCTAGCACTAATGACAAGTGAACCAATCTGCTAAGACTTGCCATCATTCATAGGTGAATTAATTTCTAAAAACTGATCCTTTGCAGCATCAGTTCTAAGAGCAAGCTAAATGACAAAGAAAACTAACCTACTTTTCTTTCTCTCTTCCTACACAGACATCTTAAAATTACAGAAAGTTACAGAAAAAAACAACACTGAAAAGGTGAACAATTACTTCAGATTTGCTTTTCCAGCACCACCAAGTCAGAGGGGCTGCAACTCTCCCAGTGGACAAGAGACCAGCTTACTGTCACTTCCAATCCACCACACTGATTCCTTGCACAGGTATCTACAAGATGTAACAGTCTTGCCCAACATGCTCTCTTACCTTTTCCAAAGCTCCCTTCCCTTAAAAGTGCAACATGACTGAATAAAGCAAGTATTTCACAACATCCCTAGAATCAATATCCATCTATTAAAAACCTAAGGGTTAAACATGCAACAGTTCTGGTTGCATAAAGCCAAGCAGTAAGCAAAAATATGGATCCATTTCATAGAGCAAGAGAATGCATAAAACACTAAGCAAGCAAACTTAATGGTAAATTTCTGGATGCGTGCCATTCCTTCAAGTTGTGCTTGCTGCATTGCTGAGATTTCAGTGACATCGTGTTTAATAAAACCAATTAAAAAAAGAAAAGAAGAAGAAATAAAGAGAACAGAAAACCTTTTCACCAAAAAGAAATTTTGTCTTATGTTTTGACTTTGGATGAATTCTGGGTATTAACCACTTAAAATGAAGGCTTACTTGACTGAATATTACTTCAGAAAGTCAAGCTTCAACATATTTATATTACCTCTTTTCTGATTAATAAGCTTCAGGGAAATGCAAATAATCCATGATCAAAGAGAGTAAAAGTCAAGCAGAAAACTTCAGTTAGTTTCATTTGTTTGTTTGTTTTAAACATGAGATGTGGTTTACTTCATCTGGGAAACATGATTACCATGCAGTTTACAGGAAACAGAAAGATAACAGCCTCCTGCAGAGGGTTAATGTTTAAAGTTATGCCACTAAACAGAAATGGAATATTACTGGGTGACTAAAGAAAGATGCAAGGTCCAAGATGATGCATCCTAATGCTTTTTCAGAAAGCTTTTTCCAAGTTCTTTCAGTGAAAGGCTTAAAAGAAATTAATCAGAAAGTAAATCAGAAATTTGTCTACAAACATAAAGAAACCTATCAATAAAAATTTAACTATATTCTGTTTTCACCAGCTCCATCCTGGCTCCTCTGAGGTCAGCAGCAGAATTCTTGACTTCCACCTGAGAATGTGTTCTTCAATATGCAGAAGTATTAGGCTCAAAGCAGTAACATTTTTCAACAAATACTGTTACACACTGCAGTACTACTCATACAGTAACAATAATTCATCTAAATATTAACTAGCACCTCCCCTAAACATTCTGAGGAATGTTTATGTATTTCTGAAATAGCCATATATATTGTGAAATAGCCACAATTCCATCTAGACTACATTTAGACTAATAGTTTTAACTACAAGTACAAAAACAGAATAAACACATAAGCAAGATGCTTCTTTTTCATAATAACTAGATAATGCCACTGGCCTTTACAAGAAAAATCACAAACCAAAGTCTCCTTTTAGCAAAATCAATGGTTAAAGATGTTCCTTCAACATCCTCTCTCCCAGCATTCCAGATATGTGTACATCAGTCCTTCCCCAGCTCCCTTTCCAGAACCCCTCTCAGGCTGTTCCTCAGACTTGTCCTCTTTAGTCATTCTGTGCCTAACTCAGTTAAATTCCCAGCTGTTCAGTCCCCACGTGTATCAACTCTTTGTCACTCTATTTTTCAAGTGGGCTCTCTCAGGCTACACAATCCATGTCCACCAACCCTCTCTGTATTTAACCTGTCACTCTCAAGCACTGCCATCTGTGGTCTCCCTGGCTTTACTTCTTCATGGCAGCTAAAGGACTCATTAATCTGCAAACCATTTCTGCTGTATTTTGCACAATATGAGAGAAGTACCTAAGAAAAACACTGCTGTGGTGATCCTGACCTCAGTCTGCTGTCCCTCCAGGATGGGAGCAGTGTGTGAAACAAAACAGATGGAAGATCAGACTTGACCAGAGCCCTCTAAAATCTTGATTCTCAAATGGCATTTCCATATGGCATCATTCCTCCTCAGCCATTCAGGGATGTGGGAAAGGCTTTTCCATAAACAATTTCTAGGGCCCTTTCTAGCTGACTTGATGAAAAGCCCCCTCATGCTTAGATACTACTCTTACTAAGCAAAATCAGGTTCCCAGATTCAGGCAATTTTATTAGAATGACTGAAGCTGTGTTTAGATAAACTGAGTCAGAAGGCTGGGACACATCAGACACTTCACCCAGGCACACCTCTCTTCGTTTCCCTATCACTGCACAAAGTGGGAAAAAAGAGCTCAGCAAACACAGCCAAAATTAACAAAACACATGGGACCAACCAAACTGCAATGTGTTTTTCCTCCAGACTGCTAAATTGACTTTTCCAGACTGTAACAGCAGAGGGTTTCAGTCAATTCTGGCTTTTTCAATGTAATGGAGGAGGAGGAAAGTAACTTGAACATAGCCAAATCAGCAATTACTTAAAGTATATGTAAATTAATCAAAAATTAAATTAGAGCAGACAAAGGAAATGCTCAAGATGCTCCTGATTAAAGAAACCCAGATCCCAAGCTGACAATTTTCCAAAGAGACACAGGTGCCATTCAGAATGCAGCCTGGTACACAGTGAGCAAGCTCAGCTACCTCTGAATGCAGTGCAGGAGAAATCCACCATGTAGGCAATCCACCCAGAGATAACTCAGGAGGTACCACAACCCAGCATTGACAGCCAGACTCCACAGCTCCTAACTCCCAATGGACTCAAGGCTAGTAGGACAACCTAGTAAGCACCAAGATCAGATATTTTGTTTCTACCAGAGAAATCTTAGAAATTTGTGATCCACAAAGTATCGATTCAGAAGCTTTGTTTCAATTACCTTTTAGTGGGATCTTTTACTTCCCCTGACAACAAGTAACTATGGCTAACTCCCACTACCACAACCCTGAGCTCCACCTTGGTATCACAAATGAAGTAAAATACATGGAATGCACACTGTACCTCCAGTTGGTAGATGCTCCCACTATATCCCTCAATTTGCTCCGCACTGGAAAAAAAAGAAATCAAAGCAAATCATGCTTAGTTCTGCAAGTGATAAACATGAGGTTGCCTGGTGTTAAAGGCACAATCCTCATCCCAGAAGAGGAAAATTAAGCAAATTCATGCAAATAGCAGCCCAGAAATGAAAGTTTGGCCAAATTCACTGCTGCTGTTAGTAGGCATATCACAGGAGTGGGCTGAGTAACATGATGCCATAGCTTATTGCATATAGGCAACAAAGAGTGTTTGTTAGTGCAATCAGGCACCTCCAGTGCTAATTAACAGCTGAAAGACAGCATGGATCAAGATTAGATTGGGGAATTTTGATGTGAAAATATTAAGCCTAAACACAAACTGTGGAGATAAAACAAATCAGAAAGTCATAGAAGAACATAAAAGGGAACAGTGCAGCTGGGAAATGGAATCAGGAGAATACCAATTAAATAATCCCACCCACGAAGGCAGGCAGTATCAGCAGACTGGTTCTTGCCAGCAAGGTTTCATAGTCCAAATTTTTAGCAGTCTGAAAGAACACAGTGTTAAAACACTGAAGACAGGCCTGTACAACTTATTCTGGCCCTGTTTGCACTCTCAGAGTTAACAGTAGTTCTGCACAAGTTTTTCCTAAATGTCAAGAATAATGTACATAAGCATCTTCTCTACTCTTTCTCAGATGAGATTATTAGGTGTGCTAAGGTCCCATCAAATTTGCTATTTGGAAACATCTGAAAAAAAGCAGCAACAATTCCCAAGCTCAGAAGAGAAGATGAGAATTGTATAGAAGACATCCCTTGCTTATATACAAAGATCTTTTATACCAGGGGGTTCAAATGTTAGGGACACATCAAGGAAGAGCAACCAAAAAATATCCAGAATTTCATGGTGAAATTGAAAGAGGCTGCTGGTGACTCACAAGCTGACTCTTTATCAGGCTTGGCATTTTTCAAACTAAATGCCTGATCAGAGTATTGAGAGTGATCAGCCAGCTGGCCTATAAACCCTGGAGAAGCCCAGCTAAATTCCTAGGATTTAAATGACATTCCACTCTCTCAGCCAGATCCACTCAGCTCTGCTCTCCTCCTGCTCAGTCACTTCAGCTTCTGCCCAAGTCCCCTCACGCCACCACTGCTGCTGTACCCCCAAGCTCCCTTCCCTGCAGCACCCTCAGCCCCAGGCCCTGCACTCCCAGCCTGTTTCTGCTCTGCCTGCCTGCCAGAGAAGCACCAGCCTGAGCCAGAGGCAGGCAAGGCAATGCCTCCAGCCAGCACATGGATGCAGTGACTCACCAACAGCCAGCAAACACCAGCATCCATGCCTGACCCCAGCACCAGCTCTGGCATCCTAACAGATCTCTGATTTGGAAGGTAATTTTCACAAAATTTGTGGAAATATGTTTCTCTTTGAGACTGCTGGCTCATCTGTTTTGGCTGACATCAACAAAATGTTCTGGAAGATGAGGAAGACAAGAAGATAGGCAGACAAAGACAAAAAAATAGATTGCTTAGAACTCATTTCTTTAGAAAATTAGGCCAAAAACCTGTTTTGAAATTAGAAGACTTCTACTACTAATTCTAAGAACAATACAAAATTTCAAGGAAAGAACCTGATTGAAAATCTTGAGAGTTGATTTCTTTTGGAAACAGGGAAGGTCTGATTCCTTTTTCCTTAAGCAGCAGCAGGCTTGCTTACAGAATAGGTATTACTTTCTTGTTACTCATACTCCACCTGTGAAGCTGCCATGGCATGCATTTGATCAATACAGTGTAAGCAGAAACACTGTTACAACTTCTAGAACACAAAACCTCAATTTTTCAACAGTGTGCAGACTGTGCTGGGATGGACAGACAATAAACAGCACTTTCTCTTTGTTTAAACTAAATTAATCTTCTTTTTCATCTCTAAAGAGGTAAAAAGCTCTGAAAAAAATCTCGGGTCCAAACCTGCAAAAATTAATATAAGCTGTTAGTCCCATTTAATACATCTGATTTCAGTTTTAGGCATAAAAATAAATATTTTCCAGGCTGAGAACACATTAAAATTTTTATCTTATCATTAAAAGGGACAAAATGTAAAGCATTTCTAAATGTTGTCAAGCCAAATCTAGTCCATTTTACGGTTCATAAGTACATGGGTTTCAACTTTTTCCTTTTTTCCCTCCTGGGAAGACTGTCCTGCTCTTCTAGATATTAGAAATTTAAGTAAGTAACAACAGAAATTTAAGTTAAAAAATTAAGTACAAAAATGTATAAGCTATTTCTTTTTTTATCTGGCAAATGTCTCAAGTGTGTAAAACAGTTACAGCAAATGGGACCTCTCCATCATGCTCACATAACATATTGCACAGTACCTCCTAAACTGGCATCAGTGGATCACCAATGCCACAGCAGCAGGGCCTGGGTTTATTTGCACGGTGCTGTGGAAAAGGACACGAGGAGGGCAGCTGGACAAGACACTGCATTCATCTCTAGCAGGGAGATCCATGCCCCTCGAGCTGATGCCTCCCCAGCTGCATCCAGGTCCAGGAAGAACACCAGCTTTGGTACAGAGCTTGCTCCGCACTGAGGCTCAATCTGGATGCAGATTCAAATGTCTAAAATGAAGCCAAGTACTGCAGGAGCTGCTGCCTGTGAGAGATTTTGTATCCCACAAGCCTCTTAGAAACGTTTTATCCAGCAGTGCAGAGTGTGCTGACAGATTTAGTGCAACACTGCCACAATTAAGACAGGACCATTCACCAAAGGCAAAGGGGCTTTAAGCAAGGCAACAGAGAAGAATAATAGCACCTCATTTTTCATCAGTGCTAAAGTAAGGAAAGACAGTAGCTGAGTAAGTTTAGTGTTATAGCAAAGAGTTTAATTTGTACAAATTACCACAACACACCATTATTCACATGAATGGGGGACTGTCCTGTAGAGCACAAAACACAGGTTAGATTAACAATGAAAAGAAACAATGCAATTTACATCTACTAAGGAGTTACCTGATTATTCTACCTGCTTCTGTTCTGTTTAGGCAGATGTTCCTTAACTTTAGTAACTGCAGGCAATCTATGCTTGCCTGATTTACAGTGAGTTTGTCCTTTCCTTTCAAGCCAGCCTTGCAGTTCCCTGTCCACTGACTCTGTGTAGCATCTGCTTGCAGTGTGATCCGAAACAGTTCTTCAAACTCAGGGCTACCATGTACTGTTGACAAACAGCATTAACTTTGGAAAGACTATCTGTACATTTTTCAGGAAATGGGATGAGAGTTTTTTTCAGAGGAAAATTCCAAAGTCTTGCTTTGTGTAGCCTTTGGGAGAGCCATGGAAGAAGTGAGGGCATTCACAATGGGAACCCAAAATTATGAAAAGGAAGCATGTGAAAAACTAGTTAGAAAAAGTATTTGGTGTTTTGTGAAAGCATGGATACCAAATTGAAGGTATAGTTTACATAACAGTAGAATAGCTTACATATCAGCAAAACTTTGAATCTGAACAATTTTGTAACAGAATCTCAAATGTTTAGTTATTGTAGTCCACAAAATATTAGCACCCCTTGGAGAACGAGATAAAAAACACTGTTTCACTGTTTTTACTGACCTTCTAGATGGCATCATTTCCAAATCTTCAAATAAAGACTCAGGACAAGCTGCAAGTATGCAACATCATGTACCCTTGCCTCACTCCTTTAACCTCCTAAATTGCCATTTATTACCAACAATGAAAATAAGTTCTCTAACAACAAATAACCCTCATTTTCTCTTTTATTGGATAACCAGTAACTGTTGGTGTCTTCTGTTTAGAAAACAAAGGAAAAAAGATCTCAGAAATTAGCAGAACTCCATGAAGGAATTACTTGTAAGTGGCTCCAGCCTTTTTCCTCCTGCCCTTTTCAAAGTACAAGGGATTGGAATGCAAGAAAACCTTTTTAAAAGCTTCTGAAATGGGAGCATTATGGTTTATCACTATTAGAGCACTGAAACAACCTTTCAATATAAAGCTCTATTGACAAGAGCAATTTCATGAGGCAATGCTGCTGATCCGATTAAAAGATTTCTACAAGTTTGTGAAATTGGCAGCATTGACAGATTAAAAGTTCTGTAAGGCATTTTTTCCACTCAGTTCTCCATTTCTTGGTCATTCTCTCCAGTCTCATTGTACCTATCTGCACTACATGGGCTTTCTACAAGACCCAAGCAGAGCAGCAGTTATGCTGCCAGAAAAGAACCAAGCTCTGCCAAAGCTGAAGAACCAGAGGAGCTTCTAAAATCTGCAGTTTCAATGATCATGGATATTTGTGCCATCCACCTGCAAACACCCAGTGATTGTCTGCTGCTTCCTGAACACCACTACTATGAGCTAACAGACAAGGGCATGTTCATTAACCAAACCATACTAATACATGCAGGGACACCACCTGGAAAAATAAACTCCTCAGTAACATCATTAAATCTTCCAGAGCACAGCCATCTGCCTTACCTTCAGACATGTCAGGAAGCCCTGGGGAGGCACTGGTCCCAGAAGTGATTGTCCTAGCCAGAACAGAAGGAAGCTTCCTCATGATGCACAACCTATAGGCAGAGCAGAAGAATTTAGTGATTTAGTGTCATTAAAAATAATCCCATTAAAATAATTTGGGATTTAATTTTGGAATTATTCTGGTGACTTCAGAAACAGCAGTCATTTTAAGCTTGATTTTCAAAACTAGATACTATTGGTGCAACAGTACCAAGACAGTTGAAATTCCAACTGACACCTTTTGTTATCTAAAAACAAGAATGAAGAATGCTTCCCTGGCAGTAATTGTTCTCTTCACTGACTATTCAGATGCCCAAGACAACCAGCTTAGACTCAACACCAGCTTCTACCCAGTAGCATCTTAATGCAGATGGGGTCCATGTGCCTCTAGGAAATCATCCACGCCACTAACCATATACTTCTCCTGCACTTAGCTGGTGTGCATAGAAGTGGAAGGAGGAATATACCTATCCTTGTGAAATGGATTTCACAAGGCGTCACAAGCAGTCCCATTCAGCTAAGCCTGGTTTTCTCCTCCATGGCTTAGTGCTGCAGAAACCCAAAAAGCCTAAAGCGCAGGATATAAACCTCTTAGCCATTAAGGAAGAAGGAACCCTTGAGAGAATGTAATCCACCCACAATTCACTAAGTGTTCTACAAGATAACTAGCCAGCACTACTCCTCTAGGCAAGCATAACTGTGCTAACACAAAAACACACAGAGGGTGTGTAAATCCCCTTGTGAGAGTTCACAGCATCATCCTGACAAGGAATATGGATTGCTGGTCCTTTAACTTTTTTCCCTTGGGACTGAGGTTCCACCTCAAGAAAGGAAAGGTGGCAGGTCCTCAGGCACCAACACAAAAGCAAGGCCATTCACACATCTCTCTCTCTCCCCTTCATGTATATCTACACTATCTACACATGTGCATCATGTACAAGCCTTCACTGCCTGCAGATGTTAAGTCCTCATGGAGGACTTAAAAGAGAAAACGGGAACATAAACACACACACAAAAAAAAAAAAAAAAACCAAAGAAACCTCCGAAGGCAGCAGAGTCCCGTATGCACAGGAACACAGGAATGTCATGGACGGCGATGTGAAACGCCTCTGTGAGTGCTGCAGCCCCTGGGCTCGATCGGTGTGTCACGGCAGGGCCAGCAAACGCGCTCCCGGCAC